AGCGGGCACAAGGACGCCAGATCAGTTCCAGAGAGAGAGAGAGAGAGAGAGAGGTACCCAGGATTTCCGGCGTGCTCCTGGGCAGAAGGGCGGCTTGAGAGCGGGCACAAGGGAGGCCAGACCACATAGGAGACGAAGAGGCGTTTTCCAGAGAGAGAAAGGCGTTTTCCAGAGAGAGAGAGGTAACATTATTGTAACCTTTCCAAAATTATTTAAACATGAAGCTGATCATTAGGTGAGTTTACTGTCAATTTGTATCAAAGCCTTAAGTAAAAATAATTTTCATTAATTATCTCAAAAATAAGTACATAGATCATGTCTTAGATTAAAGTACAACATACAGCTTTCATGTTTCCATTCTTTAAGCATCTCTCTGCTTTTATGAATTTGCACTTTGGTGTTCTACCAAGGATATACTCCTGTTAGTAAGTACTCAACAGACAATTAACACACTTTCATACCTGTGATTGTCTTTAATTGGTAAGTTAGGAAAAGGAATGTGGCTTACTTGCTTATGTTCTGACAGTATGACACCATCTCATAGAGCTTCTGTTGCCCCACATTTTCCATCACCACCATTGAACTTATTCTGAATATATCTCCAAAGCCATAATATAAAATACAGTCTGCTTTTGTGTCATCTCGACCTGTAGTTTAAGAGAAATCTTGAGGCCATTTAATTAATTTTAAAATCTCAAAACATGCAAGATAACATGCAAAATTAGTTGGCAATGCTTCATAGTCTATATATTCCACATTAAAAAATTTAGATAAAGATGTGATTTACTCTGTAACACCTCCTTTGACATTAAAAAAGCAAACAAACAAAAAACCCATTAACAAGTTTTAGAAAGCATCAACTTGATTAAATGAGGAGACATGTCTCTAAGTAGTCTGGTTAAGTAAAAAATTTTAAATTACTAATTAAAGTTCATATGTCTCTGGCAGTAAGAATCCACCAGCTATTGCTTGAGACAATGATGGGCAATTTCCTCTAATGCAATTTGTTGTTGTTGTTTGTTTTCCAGTCAAGTTGAGCACACAACTATTGGCATTTATCAAAGTTCATAGAGTTTCAGGAGGCAAGCTGATGCCACTCCTGCTTCCAATTTACAGCCCAGGAAATGCCCTGAAGGGTCAGCTATGAGTCAGTTCTGACTTGCTGGCAATGAGTTTTGAGTTTGGCTTTTTTAAATTAAAAATTCAGGAGGCAAGGATGGACATCAGGCTTTCCAAGCAAGCATTAAGAAACAATTCATAATATTCCATGAATAAAATGTCTCCACACATAAATGAGTATAAAATTACTCAAAAGCTTGAGTTATTCTAAAATGACTGTCTAATACATAATATTAAAAAAGTATAGAATTATTAAACTATAATAAAAAAATTACTAGTCTGTTTTCTGGAACGTTTTCTGAAAAGCGCTTCTGGATATCAGTGCTACATACCTGCACGTCCACTCTCTTGATAATAATTCTCCATAGACTTGCTGATTGAATGATGTATAACAAATCTCACATCTGGCTTATCAATCCCCATACCAAACGCAACTGTTGCAACTACTACCTAAAATTTTTTAAAATTTAAAAATAAAATGTCTTAGCATGTTATCTGTTAATAGGAATGTAAATATTTTTAAAGGTAAATTGGGCTTAGGCATCTGTTGAGGATATATACTTAACCTGAATTTCATTAATGGACCATTTGCTATGAACCTTGGTCTTATCTTCTGGTTCCATATTGGCATGGTAAGCACCTGCACGAATTCCCAAATTCTGTAGACTAATAGTAACTTGCTCAGAATCTTTCTGAGAAAAACAGTATATGATTCCTGTAATAAAGTGTTATTGTATTAGTTTTATGGAGTATAAATCCAGAAGTTCACTTTTAATATGATACCAATTAATACAACAATGAGAGGAAAATGAGTTCTAAAAAAATAATAATAAATTTCAAGCCTTAAGCATTGATTTCTTTTTTAAATAATTCAAGATCTGATCAACTTGCTTTTAAAAAGTAGAAGTGAGTTCTCAACCACCAGTTTTCGTTTCCCTTACCTCCTTTCACTCCCACTATGTGGTATTTTTCAAACTGGAGTCACCCAGCTCTGTAAGATGTAAACAAGCACTCCGTGAAATAAGAGCTTCGTGTACAAATGGGTTTGGGGGACAACTGCAGTACACAGTTAAACAGTTTTCTCTCTTTAACTACAGAGCTCGTCAGAGCCTATGTGTTGAGACACCCTGGAAATCTCCTGGGGATAAATAACTGCAGCCTTTCTCAAACTTATTTGACCCTAAACTCCTTTTACCTAGAATGCTCGTTAGTATCTCTTAGGAAGCTATAGAAAAGAGATTCAATACTTCTTTTACTCAAACTCTTTGTTTCAGTATCACTTGTCCATTCACTGGTCCTCAAATACAGTTTCAACTCCATCTATGCACAGATATTCATACAATATCTACATTTGAATTATTCATCTCTCCACTGTGTCCCTTATTTAAGGAACTATATTCTTTATCTATTTGGAACTTCAGTGCTTATTCTTGTATCTTACAAACTTTTTTACCTATTGAATGAGTATTTTTCACAGTGAATTGCACTGATACACTAAAGGTGGTATCTGTCTGACAGTCTGAATCCACCAGCTTCTCCAAGAGAGAGATGACCAAGGAGTCTTTTCTGACTCATTGGAATGAAAAAAAAAAAGAAAGAGTGCTGAATAATGTGCATTAAGTCTAATCTTTAAACAATTAATTATAAATAGACCAAAATAAATCCGACAATTCTATGATTTTTATAATCTGTAGCAATAGCAAATATTACCCAAATCTAAGACAAAATAACCTGCAATCCCAAAGATGCACGGTTTGAATCCACCAGATGCTCTGCTGGAGAAGGAGGGGCAATCTCCTCCTGTGCCGGTCGGATCCAACTTGATGGTACACAACAACAACAAAAAAAAGAAAGAAAGAAACCACCACAAGAAGCTACACTGCAATTCCAAAGATGAAATAACTTCATCGTATTTTTAAAACTCTTCTGTCATACATTAAAATTCTCAGCCTTATTTATTTATAAGTATGCTGTATCAGTGTCATGTTTGTTACTGCTTTTTTTAGGAAGCTATTTCTCAGCCTTCAGAGTGAGGAGTGAGTTTATTTTCTGAATTACCTGATTTCCCTTTATATCTCCCATTAATGAGCTTTACAATATCCTCAATAAAATCTTCAGTGTTGGAGGGCTTCTGCCGAACCTAAAAAAAACTAGCTTAGTTAAGGTAAATGAATGAGTCACCAAATAGTCATTTACTTACAGTGTTCAAAGTGCTATTCTTTTAAGAGCTCAGTCATTTTCATACTGTTTACTCTTTCATCAGCCTTATATGACACTCTTTCTACCTCCCAGATTCCATTTTTGACCCTTAGTTTTTAGTTTATAGAGATAGTCAGAGAATCCAATAGTAATTTGTAAACTGGAGATTTTTTTTTGGTTAGGATTATCTTTTTTTAACTCTTTTTTAAATAAATAAAATTGTTATTTTATTACTGGTTTGCTTTCAAAGTTTGTATGCACTGTTTGCAAACTGGAGTCTTTTTATCTTTGATAGAAGCATAAATCATAACACAGACTGCTAGTAAATCTATTCTTGGAAATAAAATTTAAAAATTGAGTTAATTAGTTTTGAAATTTGTGTCAAATAAAGTCTAAATAGTAAGTATTAGAAAATCTTTTGTGGGATATTAATATTTCTATTATTTAAGAATTCATTTCAGTAGAGATATAATTAAAGTCTTTAATATCATTCTATCTTTTTCTCCAGTCTTGTACAAGAAAGAATGTACATAAATTTAACAAATATATGTGACTTCTTCATCACCATGGATAAAAGGTATTATCACCCAGTGGGCAATGTCTTCTCGTTATCAAAAGATTAGGTAGCAAGATAGATTAACACATAAAGTACTAATTAATGAATCTGCTAACTCTCATTCTAAAAATATTTTACATAGTTAATTGTTTCTCATGTGAAACAAATAAAAAGATAACTACTCTGCTGAAAACCTTCACAAAAGTAATAAATTGACATATAAAAGAAAATACCTCATAATAAAGATTTGGCCGATTAAAAGAAGCTGTGAAAGTCAAACACTTTTCAACACACAGAATTTTCTGAGCATCCTTCAAAACGTGATTCGTTGCTGTTGCAGTCAGCCCAATTAGAGACGTGTTGGGGAACTGTCGCTTTAGGATACCAAGTGCCTTATAATCTGAAAAAAAATAACAAGTATACAAATAGAACTCTCTATCTTTTAAAGGATGGAAAATATGGAAACTTTCCATACTTTCAAATTCTCCTTACTTTTCAACACTATGCAAATAATCAATGATTACTGTAATGTTTTATAAGGTAGGTCTTACACATTTAATTATTCATTCAGAAACAATGTCCTTGACCAGAGATAGGATCACTTATTGGAGACACACACACACAAATCACTGTCATCAAGCTAATTCCTACTTCTGGTGAACCTCCATCTGGGTTTGGAGGCTATAAATCTATACAGGAAGAGAAAATTTTGAGGAAATGCAAACTCTTCAACAAATATGAAGTGGATCAATTCCAGATAAGACTGTAATATTTGCTAATAAACACGTATTTCAAAAGATAATTATACTAAAAACTACATGTGGTGGTGGTGTTATGTGCCATCGAGTTGCTTTTGACTCATAGTGATCACAGGTACAACAACAGTTCTGAACCCTGCCCTATCCTGAGCCAGTGTGCCTCCAACACACCTACCCCCAATACACCAGTTACTTTGTCAATCATTTCATCTGGAGTCTTCCTCTGCTGCTTTGTCCTGCCATGCTTCCAAACATGATGTCCTTCCTGGCAACATGGCCAAAGTAAGTGAGATGGAGCTTCAAAATCCTTGCCTCCTAGGAGCAACTTAGTTTCACTCTCTCCAGGTCAAACTTGTTTATTCTTTTGGCCAACCACGGTATATGTTTCAATAGTCTTTTCTAGCACCACAACTCAAAGGCATTGAAAGGATAATTAGACTCTCTGCCCATTGGTCCTCTTCAAATTAAAAGGAAAGGAGGACAGTTTCTAAAAAATAATCTCTACTGTCAAAGCCTTTTCTAGATAAATCATACATTGATGTTATTGTTGTTAGGTACCATTGAATACAATCATAATGACCCTACGTCCTGTGACATCCTTATCATTCCTAACTCATTTGAGCCCATTGTTGCAGTCAGCTACCAGCAATTTCATCTTACTTGGATCCACAATCAATACCATTGGTACCACCAATCAGGAAAACAGGAAGACGTGCAGCACTGGGAAAGTCTGCAGTCTTCTGTTAGAGAACAGTACATACCAGGTCTGAAATCATGTCCCCACTGACTACAGCAGTGAACTTCATCCACAGCAATTCGAGTGAATCTTCGTGCTTCATAAGCCTTCTCTAATCTCGACATAAACATTTTGCTTTTAGCAATTTTCTCTGGAGTCACATAAATTAGCTTTAACTTGGAGTTTTTATTTACCATTTCAGCATGGACCCATTTCACATGTTCCTATTAAAAGGCAAAACAGACACAGTAAGAGGAGAACTGAGCTAGCAAATTGCCATTCTAAGTACAAAGCTTCACAGCAGCTGTGTAAACAGCATTTTAGCTATTTACTTACTTCCAAATTGTTGATGACCAAAGTATAACCTCACTTGAAAACAGAGAGAACAAAAAAATGAATGTGAAAAGCCGAAGAGCATCTATTCTATGAAGGTACAATTCTAAATTCATAACAAATGGCATATGAGCAGAGTGAAACAGGTATGGTCATATTAAGGTGAACATTTCATTTATATCCCTTTCATTAATCTATAGCTTTAATAATGTTATTAAATTTCCTTATGATCTTTTCATTTAAATATAACAGTCACAGAGTTTATAAAGCACTTAATTCATTAAGAAGGGAGGTGAAGAGCAAAGTGTAATGTCACATTTATTATACCCTTATTGCCCTGTTATTATTTCATTCATTACTTAACAATTAGATGCCATTTCCCCCTTCTAATCTATTGAGCCAAAAAGTATAGGGAAATCGTGGAAAATGAAATATAGAGAGACTCAAGAATACCTGACAACAAGAAGGATGCAAGTCTATCAGGAAGCTCTGGTGGCAAAGTTCATAGCATGCTGCACTGCTAAATAAAAGGTGATATTCTCTGGCAATTCTAACCATCAGTGGCTTGGAGCGAGAAAGATGAGCAGTCTCCTCCAGAGTGATTTACAGCCTTGGAAACTCATTAGAAGGTCAGCTATGAGTCAATTCTGACTCGAATGGTGGGGGCTTTGAGTTTTGGGATTTTATAGCAATATTAGGGGATAGTGGTGGCTCAAGGGTAGAATTCTTGATTTATATGTGGGAAATTAGGTCTTAAGGCTGGATGAGAAAACACTGGTGCACAGAAAATGCATCTTTCAATGGGATGCATGTTACTATGATACTGAACAGGTTTCAGAAGAACTGAAATAGACAAGGACGAAACACCTGGCAATCTTCTTTCAAAAACCAACCAATAAAAGCTGACAAATGGCTATACACTTAGCCCATATGGCGTAACCATGAGACCCGATGGCAGATAACAACCACAATAATACAGCTAGAGCCACAAAATGCTATAAACAAATCTTACCTGGACTATGCTTTAGAAATAACAAGACAAAGAAATTAGAATATATTTATTTATATGACATTTTTAAGAAATTCCTCTTAAAAAGTTTAGGTGTGATGACAACATTTCTAACACATTACAGATACACACTAAAACATTACAATTCAATGACACTGTGTCTGGAAATTGTTACAAATAAACTGTGAGGAAAAATCGGGTGTGTATTTATATAACCTCTCCAAAGTATTGAAGAGCAATGGTGTCACTTTGGAGACCAAGATGCGTCTCATACATGCTATGGTCTTTGCAATCACTTGTTATGCATCAGAGAGTTGGACAATGACTAGGAAGGACAGAAGGAGAATTGATGCCTTTGAGGTGTGGTGCTAGAGAAGAGTATTGAATGTACCCTGGACTGCCAAGAAAACAAACAGATTCACCCAAAAGAGGGTTAAACCAGGCTTCTCCTTGGAGGCAAGGATTCTGGGACTTTGACATACTTTGGACATGTTGTAAGGAGGGACAGGTCCTTGGAGAGGGACATCATGCTTGGGAGGGTGGAGGGACGGTGCAAAAGGGGAAGACCTTCTATGAGGTAGACTGATTCAGTGACTGGGGTAATCAGGATGGGTGTGTCAGAGGCAGTGCAATTGGCAAAATATAGAGGAGGGTTTAGGGCTGTTGTACATAGGGTCGCTATGAGTCGCAAGCAACTCGATGGCAAATAACAACAACAACATTCATATAACAAGATTGGCAGTAATAGGTACAAGCAGTTTAATGAACTATTATCTCTACTTTCCCATGCTATTGAAAATTACAATGATATGGTTTTGTTTTTTTTTTAAAAAAAAAGGCTGGCTTGGCATTGCTTCATTCTACACATGTTGTTGTTGTTATGTACCGTCGAGTCGCTTGCGACTCATAGAGACCCTAAGTACAATAGCCCTAAAACCTGCTCTATATTTTGCCAATCGTGCTCTCTGAAATACCCATCCTGATTACCCCAGTCACCGAATCAATCCACCTCCTGCACTGTCCCTCCAACCTCCCAAGCATGATGTCCCTCTCCAAGGACCTGTCCTTCTTTACAACATGATGAAGCCTCAGAATCCTTGCCTCCAAGAAGCAGCCTGGTTTAACCCTCTCTTGGATGAATCTGTTTGTTTTCTTAGCAGTCCATGGTACATTCAATACTCTTCTCTAGCACCACAGCTCAAAGGCATCAATTCTCCTTCTATCCTCCC